TAATTAATGTATATGTTTTTGATTTATTTTAAACTAAAGATACTATTTAATTTCACATTTTAATCACATTTATTACTTAATCAAATTCTTTAATGTTTATACTTTTGTTATGTATTTTGCATTTTTATATTTTACCACTTATGGCCTTGCACGGCCTTGATGAAAAACACCCTTGGGTGATCAAGTTTTTCCGTGTTTAAATAAAAGTAATTATTATTATTATTATTATGTTTCAGTTTCAGTTTTTTTCAACCCTCGCCCGCGACATTTTTGACTTAGAAATATCAATGAGCTTTCATTTCAATGCGCATGCACAATAATGTGTCAGACTTCTAATAGTAACATTGGGCAGTTGGGTTCCGGTGTCAGATCAATAACTACATTTTTTGTTGTTTTACTGGTTAAATAATAATAATGCAATAAAAACTTATAAAGTTGCTATTAAAGTTAAAAGATAACTTGCCACCGGTGCTAAGAGAAAAACTGAAAAAACAGCTGCAGAAGAATCCCATAAAAAGAACAGAAAAACAGATTAGTAAAAATTTACAAAAATAGGTAGGTTTTAAGTTGAGTAAAAAATAAATTGGGACAGGTGATATTACGAAGATCAGCTGGAAGCGAAGTGTAGGAGCTGAGAAAGAGAAAGATCACTCGCCAGTAAAGACCTGTCAGACTGTCAGACATGTGGAACACGAAATCAATGCCAAGACTAGCAAGCCCAGTGGGCGCAGGCCGCAGTTATAATTTTCTGAATCGTTTTGAAATTAGCCCGATAAGCCAATTGAATATTGCCATGGGCTCTTTTTCCCACTTTTAATGTTTATTATTATTATTATTTCACATTTTTTTACTTTTATGACATAATCTGTTTAGCCTCATTTTGTCTGTACTTGAAAGTTTTATTTGTTTAATGTTTTACTGCTTTTATATTGTTCTCCCCCCACCCACATCTTTTTAATATTGAATTTGTATGATTATTTCTATTATTATTATTATTATTATTGATAATGATATTATTGCGGCTGCTGCTGATATTTAGCCTAATTTTATCGTATTTAATCGTAATACACTTTCATGTTTATAATTAGTTTTCGCGTTTTTATTTTTATGACATAAATTGTTTAGCATCGTTTTGGTCTTGACGTTTGACTTATTGCCATTTTGGTCCATTGCCGTTCTGGTCAAAAAGTGTTACCGTTTTTTGGTTTTTTTTGGCTGTTTTTTCCAGAAACCTGTACATCACCAGCAAAAAAAGAAATTGGAAATTTATATCAAAAGAGGTTATAATGTGTGCAAGCTCAGAAGTATAGCAAATGAAAAGTAGGGAACCAAAACGCTCACTCCAAAATCAAGTGAAATGGGATCAATAACCATGGCGTAGGGCCTACTTTTTTGTCTTATTGGTGAAATAGATAGGCCTAGCTTAGGGCCTAATTGATATGATTATGATATGATATTTCAATACCTTACCTAGGCCTAGTTAGTTGTAGGTATCCTACCTAATCCTAGCCTAGCCTAGGCTAGGGTAGGCCTAAAAACAAAATAATGACAAAACAAAATAATATGCAAGTGTTAGAAAAAGCCTAGGCTAGGCCTACCTATAGGAGGCTCAGGCCTACAATACTACTAGTACTACTACTAGGCTAGGCCTATATTAGTAATAGCATTATTTAGACCCTAGGCCTAGCTCTAGCTAGCCTAGGCCTAGTTAGTTAGTTAGGCCTAGGCTAGCACTCTAGCTAGCTAGGCCTAGGCGAGGTTAGCCTAGGCCTAGCTTTAGTTGGAGGGCCTAGCTAGCCTACTACTCTATGCAAATACAAGGGCCCAAGAAAGACAAGGGTATGAAGTTGAGCAGGACATCCCGTTTTGACTTACTTTTCTTTTCTTTACTAGGCTAGGCCCAAGCTGGTTTCACAAGTTTCACCTTGTTTTTCCTTTTGATTTTTAACAGCTTTTGCCTACCAAATCCTCACCAAAACATCATACAGTACTTCACACAATGATCTTCAATACTGCGGTTCTACACGGTAATGTCAAGCACTCTTTCTACTGCGTTTCGTTAATTACAAGAAAGAGCCTAGCCGCGCCTAGCTTGGTTGAGGTCGCGTGTCGCGCTCGTGTTCGCATATACACACACACACACACACACGCAGGCTACAGTCGATGCACAGTAGTAGCAGCCTAGCAGCTATAGGTTTAGGTAGGCCTAGGGCTAGGCCTATGCCTTTCTAGTTAGTTTGGGAAAACCCCATTATTATATATGTATCACCATGTTGTCATTTCGAATACTATCGACATGTCAGATATAATGGAGAAAACGCTGAACTCTGTAACGAACTTTTTCACGGGGAACTTTGGTCCGAGAAATTTTGATATTTCTCCAGGTTTTGCCAACCTGATACGTACTGTGACTCGATCGAGCAAAGTGGTTAGTTGTGTGTTGGTTATTACTGTATTATGGTATTTAGAAATTAGATAAGGCCTTAGCCTAGCCTAGCTAGATAGATAGGTACCCAGAAATAGGCTAGCTAGCAAGCTAGTTAGTTACTAGTTTCTAACTAAGTAAGGTAGTCTAACTTGTACTGCACTTTAATTAATAACTTAATTCATTCATTCATTTTCATAGTTGCCATTTGCCGGTCCTACTAAACACCGCCCGAGTGTATATATGATTAGTATTTTACAAATAAATTTTATAAAATTAAATTAATGTTTTATTAAATATTTAACTTATTTCTGTCGGTCAAAGGTATGTTATTCTTGAGCAAAAAGTCATTAGCTATCCTCGGGCGTTATTTATTTGTAAAATACTAATCATATAGGCCTATACACTTGGGCGTTGAAAAACATTGTTGGGCGGTCTCAGGCGGTGTTTAGTAGGACCCCCATTTGCATCATAAAAATACATAGAAATTGGTTTTGCTCAGTGCACCCCCTACTTAGGCCTAAACAAACTAAAAAAAATATGCCTAAAGACAGTCATATCCCTCTCGTACGATACCACTTGCTACCGTTAAGTGCCTGAATGGCTGCTGGATAGAGGTTGTTTTAGTACCTGTTTGTACCAGTAGGGATATTGCCTGCCACTACGTAACACTTCAAGACAGAATAATGATGGGTTGTTTTCCTTCTATAATAATAAGCCTGTTATTACCACAATTGGATTCAATGAGCTCTGATCTATTTCAGTAAGGCCAAAAAAAAAAAAAAAATTAAAAATAGGCTTAGACCCAAGTTATTCATCTCCTTGCGCATTTATTTTCTCTGCTTTACCAATTTTTTTTTTATTATTACTAGTTTTCCATTGACCATCTTGGATTTTCCATCTCGGAGTTAACAATTTTTTTAAAAATTGCCCTCATTCTCCTTTTTTCAAAATATTAGAACGAGAAACTCCTTTTTTTTTACTTGGCCTAATTTGTGATGCGTATTTAAAATGTTTTTTATTCCCTGTCCCACTAAACCACAAAATAATAGAAAAATTAAGTACACTTTTAATGACGGTCTTTAAAAAAGTGACATAATAAGATAGTTACATCCAAAAGACTTCAATTTACGCAAAAGGTAAAGGAATTTGAGAGTAATTTATATGATACAGCGGGATCAAATTTGAACTATTTTTCCTGAAGTCAATGAGCTTCCTTTGTTTTATTCATTACTAATGACCTAAAAATAGAAGCCGGTGTCAGAAGCAGTGAGCCAGGTTGTCAACATGAAACAATATGGCCACAAAACCATTTAGACCCAAACCTTTTGGGATATGGACGCAGACCACCTTAGACTCGAACCATCTCGAATGTGAACCAGTTCAGCTTGAACCATCGTGGACATGAACCAGCTTGGACACCGTCCATCTTGGCCGCTGTACCAGCTTAGCCGCTAACCAGTTCGGCCACGAACAAGCTTAGGTGCGAACTTATAAAAGTACCCTAACAGAAATAAGTCTTCAGTTTCCCCTGGTGTGAATCTAACCAAAAACACTCCTTCCTTGAAGTGGTTCTTGGGAGCATCAACCAGTTTTTTTATCACAAGGCCAAGATACCAGAATTGCCAGGTTTTTGTGGTCTAATGAATGAAACTTGCCTTGTTAGTGAGAGGTTGGTAGTTCGAATCCCAGAGACACTTTTATATGCTTATTAATCATGCAATTTGTTGAATTTCAGGAAACTGACAGAATCATTGAAAAGGAGATTGACCTTCTGAAAAAGAAACTTGCTCAACCTGACAATGGAGTGGTATGTGATTCCTTGCAATTCCTTGCAAGATGATTTGACTTAATAATTATTATTACTTTCTGAAATGTTTGTGTGATTTGCAGGATGATGTCACATGGTAACCATACATGGGTACATTTCATGTATTGATGGAAGTTGTGTTGTTATGCATTGGTTAAGACTTCAGCTTCGTACAACGGTCGTACGATCGTTGGCCGACGAATCTAACTCTGCTCTCTGTGAGCGTTGGACGACGCGACCCGTCTGCTGATTGTTGATGGCAGTCTGAACGGGTCGTCATTATAAACGATCCTCTGCGCATGCGTAATGGGGTCACGTCGGGGGGCAGTGAGTGCACAGCTTAAGGCTTAATTTTATGGGTGATGATTGATTTGAATGATTTATTTATTTGTTTAATTTTTCTTTATAGAGGTTGACCCGTCCAAAATTCTTAATTTCCGTAAATATTAATTGTTGCTAATAAATCTAAAATTATTTTTCTCTCAACTTTAAGCATAAAGTCAAGGAATACCTTGTGCGCCTCCTGTACTGCGAGATGCTGGGCCACAACACCACCGCGTGTCATATCCACGCTGTTAAGCTATCGCAACAGGCAAGCCTACAAGAAAAGCGGATTGGTATGATATTTTATGTCAGTCATTCTTTTTTTAAAGCACTGTACTTCAATAGTAAGACAACATAAAAAGGTCTAGACATTGAAGATGCCTGAATTTACCATGGGAGTATGGTTCCCTCGTGACATGGGTGTGCTTGATGAACTAATTTTTTTAAAGGTTTTGAATAAACATTTTAATTCAGGCCACTTTTAGGGTATTATTTAAGTCATTTAAAACATATGTTGATACAATTTTAGGCGGTCAAAACCTGTTTAGCCTACTAATTAATTTTCCCCTGATTAATAGATTGACAATTTAATTAGCTTGCATGTGAACTTCATCAAGTAATATTAAATAAATCATTTTTTTTTGTCGTAGGTTACCTAGCAATATGTATGCTTTTGCATGAAGATCATGAGCTGTTGGTACTGATGGTCAACACATTCCAACGGGATCTTAAGAGCAGTAACTTCCTGGAAGTTTGCATGGCACTGACAGCTGTCTCCTACTTGGGAACAGCAGACATGACACCAGTGCTTCTACCACTCATTCAGAAGCATATATCACACTCAAGGTATATTCTGCTACTGTGTATGTTGCTAAACCTTTAAACACAATATCCTTCTAGTATATTTGAGAAGCACAAAACTATGAGTTGGAATTGTGGTGTGTACGTATAAGACATCATGATTATCCCTATTTTGATATGCGCTATGCAGTGGATTTCGGCGCCATTGTCCTCCTCTTTCTCGTTGTCTTTGTTGACATTTACATCCTCATTCTTGCTCTTGCCTTCATCCCTGCTCTTGCCCTCATCCCTACCATTATAGTCCTCATCATCATCATCGTCATCATCATCATCTTCATTATCTTCATCATCAACAACTTTATCATCCATCTTCATCATCATCAATTTTAATACTGTAGCATTATTAGCAGCTACATACTACAACAGCAGTAAGGTCTTCTGTGATTCACACAATTTGATTCTAAACATTCTGACTTTTAGGGATGTTGTACGGAAGAAGGCTGTGATGGCGCTGTTTGCATTCTACCGCAAATCACCAATGCTAATGGTCCAGAGTCATGACTTATTCAAGAAAGCTCTGTGTGATTCCAAGCCAACTGTAATGACAGCCGCGCTACATGTGTTTAAGTTCTTCATAAAGGTGAGGGTTTCTATACAGTAGGGTTATTAATGTTGTGATGCGGATTGGTGCAGTAGGAATGGTTTGGTTTCCCAACTTTGAAGTCGAGGATTCAATTCCTTGCTGTGCACTTAGCTTGTGTCATTTAGCATGCACTTTTATCTGCATTGCTTCTTTCCATCCATCAGTATAAATAGGAACCTGCTGGAGTTAATTGCCTGCTATTGTGCCGATAGGACAGCAACACAGAAGCATGTGAACCCAAACACCAGGGATTTCAAAGCACTTCGTGGACCTAAAGGAAAGATGCTATTTAAATACTCACTAACAAATTACAAAAAAACATTAAAATCCCACTTTCATTTTTTTTTTCCAGGGAAAGTTTTTATGTCGTATAATTCTATGTCAGTTGTAAAATGCATCTCATAGTATTAGTATTTATTATTAGTATTATACTAACAATAGCATCTCAATAGTATTAGTATTTATTATTAGTATTATTATACTATCAATATTATAACTTATTAATAACTCAACAGGAGAATTCTGAAAAATACAAAGATATTGTGCCAAGCCTCGTGAAGATCTTACACCAGATAGTACATCATAAACTACACCAAGACTTTGACTATCACAACATCCCTGCCCCCTGGACACAAATCAGCATACTTAAAATGATGTCAGTGTTGGGCCAAGGAGACGCACAGTAAGTCTGATCTTTTAAAAAAATTTTGTATATGTTTTGAAGATAAATATTGTAATGAGGATTCAAACCCAAGACCCTCTGATTACTGTTAGCGTCCTCTTCCAACTTAATTGTGATTCCCTTGCATTTTTATATTGAGATTCTTTTTTCCTCAATGCACTTGCATAATAAAGTAATGAAAATTAATGATAATATTATATGGTAGTGTCTGGGTAGTGTCTGGGTCTCGAATTATTAATAAGAAAAGTATGTTGTCAACAAAAATATGTTATCATATTGAGGTGTTTCACCATACTAGAATTACTATAATATAATTTTTACTTGTTACATCGTATCATGTAACAATATTATATATAGCAATAAAAAATTACAGTTGAATTCAAAGGACACTCCAGAATATAGAAGTCTATGGAGAGACTGTATTCTTTCCTGAAAATAATTGTCTGAAGTCCCACAGGAGACTAAAGGGAAGTTTTAATGGAAATTATATCTTTAAAGCTTTTTACCAATACTTTTTATTACTAATGTTTTTTCACAAGGAAATATTTAAACTGTGACTATTTGTTGTTTAACTTTTATTTCTACAGAACTAGTTCATTGATGCATGATGTGTTGTGTGATGTTCTCCAACAGAGCAAGCATTCCAGCTCTATATCTTATGGTAAACAAAATAAATCTTACATTTAAATACATGTATTTCTAGCAACATGATAACATAATAACAAACATAAACACACAGTTTATTATAACAAATGAAGTATAAATAGGGAAAGTACAGTCTCGGTAGTTAAACACAGATATCAGTTAAAATAGAATAAAAAGTTATTTACAAAGTTAACTACTAAAAGTAAATTAATTGGTTCTAGCTTCATAACTAGTAATGTTAGCTAGCTACCGTTCGTTGTAGGTAAAGGTAGGAGAATAACCCATAAGTTGCAGCGTGGTTGTGCTGAATTGCGTATGGGCGTGGTCTGTGACTACCTAGCAGCTGTAAAGAGGCACTTCCTGGTAGCTACATGTTCACATCATTCCACAACAACAGGGGCCGAAATGAACCATAACATCGGGGTAACCCCTACTCTTCCGAAAGATGCAGTGGGCTCTTTAAAGTGCACATGAGCCAGATATGTACACTGGACCTCCATTTTAAGTCTTGGTTCTACCAACCGAACCATGGATGAGGAGCGGCTGGAACCAGCGCCAATGTTGAGGATGTAGCCAGCTGTGCCCCCTGCCTTACCGCTCAGCCACTCGACTAACCAATGTGGTAAATTGGGGGACAATCTTTAATAGTGCAAGATACCAACAGCAAATGGAAACATAAAAATGTTACAAAATGGCAAAAATTTAGATACAAATTTAGACCTCAGTATTATTTAATAGTAATATGCTAATAAATATTTTGTGTTCTGACATTAAATATTTTTTATGTTTTTCGTAGCTTTACAATATGAATGTATAGTTACCATAACAAGAATAGAATGCACACAAGAGATGCTAGAGGAATGCTCACTATGTATTGATAAATTCCTCAAGTCTGCTAATCATAATCTCAAATACTTGGGTAAGTATATTTAAGCATATAAATCATCTTTTACAATATGTCACTTAATATTATTTTAGTCATAGTTATTCAATTTGTATTATGAATCTTTATAGTATTAACAATATTGCTATAGTAGTTAAGTACTATTTGTTTAGTCCTGGTCTCGATTTTAATTTTTTCTCTAGTTTTGACTAAAAAAAATTAAATTACTATTATTTAAGTAAATCTTCAATTTACTTAATTAAATTGATTTGTATTAATAACATGATTAATTTGCTTGTATGCTACGCTCTGGGTACATGCGCACTGCCTCCGACTGTGGGACTACTCTTTTCCATAAGTCTTGATACCAGACACATAAATATATAATAATAATAATAATAATAGGTAGATTTATAAAGCTCTAAGTCCAAGTAAACAAAAGGTGAGGTAAGTATAATGTAAAAGTAGAATAAAATCAACCAAAAACAGGAGAACCACAAAAAGAGACTAGTGTAGGGGATCTAAAACCATTGCACCATTTTAAATAGATACATAACCATACATGATTAAGATGAAAATATTAAAAACAATTACACCAGTTAACTTACAGATATCTTTGGAGTTCAAATATGAGTATTAAATAAGTTGTTGTACTTCGAGTTGACTACTTAAATCTGAAGTAATTAGTGAAACAATGTGAATATAATAGTGCAAGCCATCACGATTTTATCTTTGAACTTTCATGTTTAATAGTTCAGGAATCCTGAACAAATAATAAAGTTTGAAATATAGAATCAAGATGGCTTGTATCTCTTGCTTCAAATTTTGTTTCATACTATAATGTGAATAAACTGTTTAATCTTAATTCCATCACAAAGGTGTCAATGCTCTGAGTTGTATTGTTCAGGTAGATCCAACTATTGCTAGCAAACATCAAATGGTGGTTATTGATTGTCTTAATGATCCAGATAATACCATACAAGTCAAGGTAAGAACATGATGGAAAACAGTGAAACATTTTACATAATATTTCAAGCCTAAACAATGGGATTTGGTTATGTATATATTATTGAGGGTTTACAAATGGTCAGGTTTTCACTCCTCAAGCCTAATTAGAAGACTTGATTAAAGTGCATCAAGGCTTACAAATGATCAGCTCTGCACTCCCTAGACCTCGATAACAGCCTTGTTTATTTATAATCATTCATGGTAAACCTAAACCTTGATGTGTTTATTTTCCTGTCTTGTTCCTAGACATTGGAACTGTTGTATAAGATGTGCAATATGACTAATGTTGATGTCATCTGCAACCAGTACTTGGAATACCTGCAAACCAATAAGGACATCTACATTAAGAAAAACCTACTACAAAGAGTTCTAGAAATGGCATCTAAATATCCTTTATAATTGCTCTGTGTGTTTGTGTAGCAGTCAGATAAGGTTGTGTGTGTCTAGGCATATTTTCTTTCTCTATGCTTTATGGTCGAATCCATAATTTGGATTACAGTGGGCTAGATTAGTAAAATTAAACTGTAACTGTAGTGTGGTAGTTAAGTTGTCTCCCAAGATTTTTGAAAACTACTTAACCTAAGCTTAATAATGAAAGTTTTGATGATTTTTAATATAGGAATGATGTTTCGCCCTACTTAACATGTTATTGTACTGAGTGCTCAGTAAATTCCCAAAAACTTGTGTAAAAAGTCTCGCAAGTGATTTGGGTAGGAATCGAATCCATGACCTCTAAATAACTAGCCTGGTGTCATAACCACTAGACCACCGAGCAGGTATTGCATTGCTATTTTGATGATGTTTTTCATGAGGAAAATTTTCTTCAATTCCAGGATTTTGAGCTCAAATGTTAAATTTTTTCATACACCTAAAACCACTTGCACTCCATGAGTTTCATACACAGACTTGGTTTATATAGAATCACTAGTCTTGTGGGTGACATTTTGGAATTTGATATCTTATTTTTCCTATGAATGATTCACGTATGGACAGAAGGGCATATGGTACATAGACACTGTAAACCAAGTGTTACTGATGGCAGGCAATATGCTGGGCTCAGAAGCTAGGAACCAAATTATTACACAAATAAAAGGTATGGAGTAAACATCACAAATCTAGTACATACATAATATTATTTTGTAACAAACATATGCTATGAAATATAAAGTTCATTAACATAAAAAATGTCTTGTAAGTTAAAAGTACTTTCAAGCTATACCTAACAAAAGTTACAGTACCATACAATTCTTTTTTTTTTTTAAATACAAATTGCATCAGGTGTTCTACAATAAAGAGCCTTGTCATAAACCACATGTAGGTAATATCCTGTTCACTAAACAGAAGGTACCCTTTACCAACCAACAGTGGCACTCAAACAAGATGCTCGATGTTAACAGTATTTTTTCAAGTTTTAAAGTTCAATGTATATTTATATACAGTACAGTAGTTGATTTATGTATATAAATATAGCCGTATGGTTGAATATTAGTACATCATTGGTATATGTTTAATTGGTTCTATATCTTTGTCATCTCCCTTTCTTCTTTGGATACTCAGATACAAGAATGTTAATCACCATTCCTTTATCAATAATTTATTATCATAATAAATAAATTTGCCTTTATATTTGGTAATATTTTTTGTCATTTCTATTTTGATTGTTTACTCAAGATATAGGCCGTTGGAGTGATGCTGACAGTGTACACACTCAAGCTCTTCATTTGTACTACAAATTACTGTCTGCACCTATACTTTCAGAAGCCCTGCTTCAGATCGCTGTGTGGGTAAGTTTAGAGCTTTTGCAATCTTATCAATTATAGGGTAGCCAGATGTCATTTTCACTAGAGCTCCTGTGAGTACTGTTCCAGTGAGCCTTTAACATTTGTGCTTCAAAGTGCTTGAGAACGGAGCACTGAAAATGATTCATTTACTTTTTTGCTGTTTTCGTTGTTATATTTTTTTAAACTTCAGGATATTTCATGGTTATTTTTCTTATTGTTTATGTAAAGCGCATTGAGAACTTTATTGTATTATCTGCTATATAAGACTTCCATTATTAATTATTATTAATTACAATGATTTTTATTTTGTAAGGATTCATTTGATATGCACTTATAATAAATATAATTAATTTTCACTGATTTTTCCCAATGATTTCTTTTTATTTTTGTTGCTATAATTATTAAATCAATTTGAAGGTCTTCCTGTTGGAAAAAAAAATTTGTACAAAATTATCTAAAAAAACATTGAACAAGATTATAACTGACTATTTTAACAGGTTGTCGGAGAGTTTTGGCAGCCTGAGTTTGGCGCCCCCGCACATGAAGTGCTTGATATGTTTTGCAAAATTTTAAAATCATGTTCAGATGACAGCACACAATCTGGTTGGCTGGTGACCTCGATGGGAAAGGTTCTTTGTAAATCAGAAATTCAGAAGATTCCTGACGATTTGGAGATTAGAACGAGTGATAGCAATGTAGAAACCAGACAGGTATTTTATAAAATCCTTCTTCAATATATAATATTTAGGTGCTCTAAACCAGAGGTGGGCATAAAACTGGGAATGAGAGCCACCATGAATTTTTGATTTAACACTGAGAGTAGCACCCAGACTTTGACTTTTCCAGTTTGCTTAGAAAAACCTTTTTTTCACTGCTTATATTGAGCTTTATGGTCAGTTTTTACATTGCATATATTACAGATGGTTGGTGTCACGCCATAAAACAGGTAGTTTTCTAGTTAAAGGTGATAGGTGGGTTGCATGCAAGGTTGTTGCGGGACACAACAAAATTTCGTCCACTTGCGCTCTAAAGATTTGCGAACAGTTTTTTATATACAAAATTGGAGTATTTGTCCATATATGGGCATGATGATGTCATTATTATCACACTGATATATAATTACATGATGTCATTTTACACACAAATATGGGCAAATGACAGAGCTATTTGTTGGTTTATCCAGTTAACTTATAGCCTACTAACACTACCATTAATTCCTGTAATCATCAATACTGTTTTATTTTATATTCTTAGGCAAACAATTGTTGTTTGCTTACAGTTTTTAAATACAAAAATAAAACTATTTAAAACTTAAAATAATGAAGTTTGAAATGTTTGTTTCAGAGAATATTTGAATTGAAAGAACTTTGCCAAGATGTTGAACTATTTGAAAGTGTAAATGTATCATCAACTCAACAATACCTTAAGGAGGTAAAGCTGCTTTTTAAAACTTTTAATTATTATTATAATGCTTGTTTGCTAGCTAGCAGATTTCTACACCATACTTTAATATTATTTCCTTCGGTTGAAAACCAGTATTTCTTGGTGTAAACTGTTTCCACCAGAAAAGTAAGCATACTGGTTATATATAAAGAAAATTGTTCAACATTAAACTGATGAAATTTTATCAACACATGATTACCACTATTATTACCATTATGGGTATTAGTAATGTATTAACATTTTACACTGAATAATTATTGTTGTTTTTGTTGTTATCTTTGTTATTGTTTTTTTAATTAATATTGTTGTTTTTTTTCTGTTGCTGTTGTAATTTCTACATCTTTTTTGGAAAGAAATGTAAATTCTAGCAGATACTATGTTATTATTGTTATTATAGTAGTAAATTTCAAGGATAAATCATATTTGTTTACAGGTAGATAGCACTCTGTCATTCTTAGATGAGTATGTTAGCGATGCATTGGAGGAAGGGGCTACCCCCTACATACCAAGACAACAGCGACACACTGAACCAAACAGAAAAGTTGTTGGTGAGATAAAACACATAAATATACTATCTTTAGTGTACTGTGTTATAGTTTAATCATCATTAATAATGACAATTATTTTATAGTGTTTTTAAGTTAGGAAGTGGTGGTTTTTTATAACATGCTGTAGCAAACAATAGCCATATTGAGTGTGAAATTTTTAGTCATTTTAGTGCTTAATTTGAAACCACTTTTTCAAAGAACCAAAATAACAATCTTTAATATTTTAAAGCTAACCCTGTAAACTGGAGACCGGTCCCCGAGACCCCAAATTTTCAGGCCCTAAATATAGTCTCGAATCGGAGGGACAACTGTATTATAATCGACCTCACCATTATTACTATCATCACCATCTCAATCATTGTGATCATCATCGTCATCATTATTCTATTGTTAATATTATTATTATTATAATTATTGTTATTATTATAATTATTATTATTATTATTATTATTATTATTATTATTATTAATTGTTGTTTGTAGTTGATACTCTACTTGGTGGTCTTAAGTTTGAACCATATCAAAGTCCCACCACATCAGTTGCTAGCACCACTACATCACCAAAAAGTTTCAACACAGCTGAGAGAATTTCAACACAGGAATCTGATAGCTCATCAAAGCATCTTGAAAGGTAAATAATATTATCTTCTTTGATTTAATGTTTATATTCCAGTGATGGATTCAAAATTATATAAAAAAAGAAAATTATGTTCAAATCAAGTTTGAGGGTGCCATTTCTGGCTCTCTGGAGCCATAATCACCATGGTTGGGGCTGAGGTGGTCCCTCTCTAGGCCCTATGTTTCAAATTCCTGGATCTGCCGGTATATATGGGTTGATCTGAGTTTGTAAACAAGCAAGCTCAAAAGTGGTGTGCACATGGGTTCTTAATTAAATTGTGGTGTTTCAGTAGTGCTAGGCATGATATTTATCTCTATTTCTGTGATTTTGTTTATGTCTACAATTACAATCATATTTTCTTTCATATGAGCGGATCATCTGGCATAGTAAAAATTCAGAGAGTTTTACTGAGGACACTTTTTCTTTATCGCAGTTTTTCTGTTTTAGTCACAACCCAAGGCAAGGCATAACCCCTCAGTTTCCCTCTACTCATGCTGTCCTTAATCGCACCTAAATTACTTCCAAGTAAAATAAAATGTGTGAAATAGTAATATTAAAGTAGTTTCTTCTCTAAAGTAGGTTCAACAACAAAAAAATGTATTTGCTTATTTCTTATTTTCTGTTCCAGTACTGACAACTTAGAACTCAAAGGTATTAAGCAAGTCTGGAGCAAGGAAGGCTATGTAAAGAAAAAGTCTGGAAGGAAGACTAGTGTAGATGATGAAACAAAAACTGAAGTTTCCAATCAAGAGTCCTCATTCTTGCCACCGATGTCCAAAACCAAGCACAAAGCCCAGCCTGTGGTTAGTAATATATGTATTGAGTACTTGTAGTTCTATTGAACTGAAAGGAAGAACGGTAAAACATTGTACCCAGAGCAGGGCTGTAACTGAAAAAAACTAAGGGTGGGTGATATACATTGTAAGGAGCATGATAACATTGGTAAACACTAAATAATAAGAGTGGATTTTAAGGATGGAAAAGTGGGTCAATAAGGGTGGGTGGAGAGCCATGAAATTAGCTTTAAACTGGGTGGAAAACCGCAAGACCTGGTGGCCCTGCCTACCATAACTACATCCCTGCCAGAGATTTGAGCTCACAAGACAGATTGTCCATCTATACAGTAATTGTTTTGGGCCAAGCAATGGAGGACAGGCATGTTAAAAAGCAATCTACTACTTCACTTTCATAATGAATTAATTGAATTACTTAAATTTGAATTTTAGGCCTATTTCGTGAATACTTACCTGGATAAACCGACTAATTGTCATTGTTCCCAGACAGAACACCCCCTCGAAATAAATGAAACAGTCCGACCCAGGGCGCCAAGTACGAACCATCTCCCTAACAAACATCCTCATTCCCTTTTCGACCTTCGTTGGAAAGTGAACCTCCTTCAGAGTGCTCAATCATAGAGTTGTTCCACGTGTTAGCGTGTTCGTGTTCGCTACCGTAATATATTGATATATAAAGGCCTTATTGACAATACTAAATGAACATAATACTGGTGAATTTTAGATTTATGTTTGGAGAGATTAAGTGAATTGTTTGAATTGTTAGATAATTTATTTCTTTAGATGAGCATGGCCTCTGCAGCAGCAGTCACAGCCGAGGCATCAACAGTTGATCATGAAAAACAAACATTAGCAAATAAACTCTTTCGAGGAATTGGCAACCAAGACGTCCAAGTGAGTATTTAACCCCCAACTAAAATATTAGCCTGTATATTCCATCAATTTCCAATTCTGCTAACAAATTCCATTACTGTTTGTTACGTTATTTCAGACTAAATCTTCACCAGGTCGTGACCGTTTATTGGATATTGGCAACCATGGTGATGAACAGTTGCTCAGCGATGATGTTGTTGCCATGACAACCAAAGATGATTCAGATCTTTTTGATTTAGTGGACATTAAAACTTTTAATAATTTAAATCACAGAACTATTGACCTAAATGCTCTGCAATTGAATGATCAAACAGATACATTACATGATGTAACTAAGGGATCACATGACTTGTCTTTGATATCACATGATTTGATTGGTGAATCACATGATGCTAGTGGTATATCACATGACATTGGTAGAAGACAAATTGATAGCTTCGTTGGAAAGTGAACCTCCTTCAGAGTGCTCAATCATAGAGTTGTTCCACGTGTTAGCGTGTTCGTGTTCGCTACCGTAATATATTGATATATAAAGGCCTTATTGACAATACTAAATGAACATAATACTGGTGAATTTTAGATTTATGTTTGGAGAGATTAAGTGAATTGTTTGAATTGTTTGATAATTTATTTCTTTAGATGAGCATGGCCTCTGCAGCAGCAGTCACAGCCGAGGCATCAACAGTTGATCATGAAAAACAAACTTTAGCAAATAAACTCTTTCGAGGAATTGGCAACCAAGACGTCCAAGTGAGTATTTAACCCACAACTAAAATATTAGCCTGTATATTCCATCAATTTCCAATTCTGCTAACAAATTCCATTACTGTTTGTTACGTTATTTCAGACTAAATCTTCACCAGATCGTGACCGTTTATTGCATGTTGGCAACCATGGTGATGAACAGTTGCTCAGCGATGATGTTGTTGCCATGACAACCAAAGATGATTCAGATCTTTTTGATTTAGTGGACATTAAAACTTTTAATAATTTAAATCACAGAACTATTGACCTAAATGCTCTGCAATTGAATGATCAAACAGATACATTACATGATGTAACTAAGGGATCACATGACTTGTCTTTGATATCACATGATTTGATTGGTGAATCACATGATGCTAGTGGTATATCACATGACATTGGTAGAAGACAAATTGATAGTGAGCAAGTTGATAAAGATATATCTAGAAATAAAGATGTTCTAGAGAATTTAAATTCTGATGCAATATATAATATAGAGCAGGCCCTACAAACTGCTATGCCAAGAGCTCAATCGCGAGTACGTGCAATATCTCCAAACAAGGTATTAATGACAGCTACAAGCAATGATACGCCAAAGATGAAGTCGTTATTAGATGATGACGATGAGGTTACACCAATAATCCCAGAATCCCTCCGTGCTTTTCCTTCATCATCCACACAAGATGAGTTATGCATGAATGACATTGCGTCATTAAGAATGTGTCGTGTCTGGAAGCCAGATTATTTTGTAATCGTTTTGTTTCTGATAAACAAAAGCAGAAGTCATAAAGTGACTGATGTTTCTATTACACTCAACTCTCCTAGTAACCTTAAGGTATGTCTGTACCCTTTAATTTTTGCTTTGATCGTTCGAGGTTTATACCGGCCAATAACCCTCTGAGAGTTAATAAGTTTAGTGTGAGACTCCTAAACAATTTAAGAAAATGCTTTTTATGCTTTTACTCTAAATTAAATTATTATGCCTTATGTATTCAAATGTTGTAGTTTACCAGTGGTGCAGTCCAGGGTTAGGGATGGTTTCCCCCCTCCCCTGCCATTTTTTGACAAAAAACTGTTGTATGCCCTATATATAGTCATGATGTGCCTATATATGGTCATGATGTGATGTCATCAAGACCATATTTAGGCATGTCACATGTTTTTGTCAAATAGAATTTGATAAGCTTGAACAGGGCTTTAGAGTTTATAAATTCATGTTTGCTGCCCTCCATCTTGTGCATAAAAATGAGATTATAAACTAATGCATGTATCAATTTGAAGGAAACACCTGTAACGCTTGGGAAGCAAAATGACCAAAAACCAAAGCATATAGGCCTACACTATACCTAAAAACTACATAATATCAACTAAACAAGAAGTATGGAAAACACTAAGTAAACAAACCAAGAGAGAAAAAGCAAACTATTTTAAGCAATGATGTATTATAGAAGTAGAATTATTAACATTGGGAGAGTATTAGGAACTGCGTGGGAAAGTAAGGTGAATTCGCTTGGAGAATATGGAGATAGGTGATGATTAACTAATTGAGTTTAATTTTTTTTGCTCAGCAAATTTTCATGGGGGCATCTGAGGGATGCAAACCTTTCTTAGTTTTGTACCTCCACAATCTCCTAAGATATGCCACTAAAATTAAGAGTAAAGGAACTAGCATCAGCGCTAAGTTTGCAATTACACTTAAGGCCCACAATGAGGGCTTGCTGACACCAGATCTGACACAGACCACAAATAATGCAGTGTTGTACAGTATAGTGACTTGTTTCTATTCTATATTATACAATATTAATTATTTTCGATTTGTTTTTATTTTTTCTGTTCTATATTATTATACATTATTAATTATTTTAATTTTTTATTTTATAGTGTTCTATAGAAGACCAAGAAATAAGTAAATGGAGTTTAGACAGCTTACCCCCTACTTCAGTAGAAAATATAGCTGTACATTTCAAGCATAAATCCCCATCATTAAACATGAATCTAGGGGGTCAGCTGTGTTTCCGGGACAACAGTCAGACGTTACAGAGACTGTTTTTTTCTACTGACATTACATTGCGGGATTTCATAAGGTAAATTAATTTCATTTTCTTACGTATCTTCTTTATGAAGGGAGTTGCCTATTAAGGGGAGTTGGGTATACCCCCTATTAAGGGGAGTGAGGAATACCCCCTATTAAGGGGAGTGAGGAATACCCCAGAAAAACAAAATAACACACTAGTGCAATATTTTTTATTACCTCATTCCTCCAGCTACAGTAATCATCCTTACCCGTAGAAGCAGTTGTCGCATCGGTTGTGGCTTGGACTCCCAACCTTGAGGCACTTTATCTACAGTTGCCTCTCTCCACCCAGGAGTACAAGTGGGTACCTGGTAGGTTCGAACACAACTGCGCTGATTACTAGCTGCAATATTATGGAATTCTTCCCAGGGAGCTGAGTATGTGTTCTATATGTGTTTGATCCAATGACCGGGGTAGTAATGTGAAGCGCTTAGAGGCATTGTGCATGAAGCGCTTTATAAGAACGACATATTATTATTATTATTACCCCACTTCCATATCATGGACACCACCTGATGGCGATAATCTTAGATACCCCAGCTGTATTTAAGATCCTCAATGCTCTATTCATTTTTGAAAAAATGGATTGCCTTCCTTTCAGCAGTGCCTCATATTAATTTATAATACTCAGTTTGAACTGACCAGTTAATTTTTAAGAGATAATATGAGTAGCCAGTCAGTGTTTCAGCTGTTATTAGCCAAAAAGCCAAATCCCAATAAAATCTGAATTTTGCTAAATATTTTCAATCAAAACAGCTAATGGAATTAAGCTATCATTGCTTATATTCTTTTGTTTTGGCTAATCAAATTTCTAATTTGGCTAATTATTTTCATACCAAATTAGCCAAATTGCTAAATATTGTTTTTGGCCAGTGGTGTAACAGCTTTGAGCTCTCGCCAGTGAAGCCATAGGCTCTGAGGTCTAAAAGGAAGCCGGGGAAATTTATCAGGATTTTTACTCCATTAAATTTGCCAAAGCGGGCGGGATTTTTCCCAGGGTATTAGGACCTTAAAGAAGACTTAGCCAGGGGCCTCGGGCCTCTTTGTTATGCCATTGTGAGTAGTTGTAGTATTATGTAGAATTGATAGTAATTAAGAACAAGTAGCACTTTGGAGATTTTGTGTAATCATTGTTGATACACAAGCTGTGAGTAGAAAAGCTTGTGTTTAAATACATGTGCAGTGGTGGATCCAATATTCGAAATAGAGGGCCCAGGGAGGGACTTTTGACAGATAGCAGATCTGGACCACCTCAGCCCTACCATTTGGAGCTGAGGTAGTAACATTTATGTATATGGCACCCCTAATGGCTGGAAATGGCACTCCCAGACTTTTAATATAATTTTCTTTTTTTCATAATTTTATTGGCACCTGTCTCTTATACACATCTAGATGTGTATAAGAGACAGCTATTCTACTGTGCTCATGTTCAGCTAAACTGATTATAGGTCATTAATCTGGTGATGAAGTGGAGCTGTAGCATGGTGGCTAAGGTGCTTACATTCTACTCCCCACTCCTGGCTTCAAATTTTGTGAAATTCCAGAATTCTATTTCTCATGGCTTTTTTCTTCACTTCTTAATCCATTTACAAAACTTGTTTATTGATTTGAGGTGGACCTACCCTCATGGACAGATAAATGCTTCATATAGCGGGCCCCAGAAAAGATGTTATTTCAGCCTATGTTCTAGGCCTCACTAAGAGGCCTAGTTAGCATTTTGATGCTATCCTCAATGCCATTCATTCCATACTTGTTTCATTTTGATTAGAATTATTATCTGGAACACACATAATCCATTCTAAGACGCTCAAATCAGATGAGCATTTTTCATAAAATTCACTCAAAAGTGGACATGTACCAGACATGGGCTTATACCAAGGAGACAGTACAGGGTATCATATTTTTATTATATAAGATCTCAATAAATGTATCAATAGAAGGCATGTAGTGTGGAGTTTTCAATTATGAGCTGTAGCAAATATTTCATGAACCCAGTTTTTCTATGTATTGTATTACATTAAAATAATTAACTATTATTTTTAGGCCGGCGACTCTAACCACTGAGGAATTTGGTAAAATGTGGCAGAGCCCAATGCTTCAAAGTAAGATAAGCCTTGAGAAAGGTAAATTCAAAAGCATTGAGCAGGTGTTGGAGGTTACAAGTTCCAGACTTCGTTTCCACCAGGTGGAAATCTTGGGTAAGTTAACAAATGTTGAAGAAGAGCCTAATATAAGCTTTTGAATCTTAAATCTTGTAATTAATTTTATTAATAAATTAGATTCATTTTCAACAATGAATTCAAACCTTTACTACACACTGTAATCAGTAGTGCAATGCCTGTCTCTTATACACATCTAGATGTGTATAAGAGACAGGGTGAAGGCCCCACGGGTCAAGGAAAAAAAATCAACCCCTCGGGCATTTATTCGATTCAGGCGTTTATTCCAAATGAGGCTCTAGAGGGGGAGTTTATCCAAGAAGGGGTTTATTCAAAGCGGGGCTTTTATTCAATTATGGTAGTTATACTGTAACATGACATGCCTTTAATTTCAGATCAAGAAGCACTAGCATCAGGGTCAATATTAGACTCCACTCCATGCTTACTACATGTCAAGTTTGATGCAAAATCCTTCCAGCTGTGGTTCAGAACAACTAGCAAACTTCTAGCAGAGTGTCTGGTCCAGGAGGCTAAGAAACACTTCAAGTAATCATTAATCTCAAAAAATATCATCTGTTTCCATAAAGTAAACAAATAATTGAGCTAATTAAGTACACAGATAATTTTCCTATTATATATCTTTTAAAGCCATGTCCAGACTATTAATTTTTACTTGACAAGAACATGTGACATCCCTAAATATGGTCATGATGACATCATCAGGCACATTATGGGCATACCGTAGCGGCTATTGGCACTGCACTGCAGCAGTGCGGAAAAATGCTGCTGTTTTCTATCGGCACTGCCGCCAAAATACTGCAGTTTTTTATCGCATAAATTTAGGCCTAAATATGACCCATGACACAGTATTTGTTAAGAGTGCCTTGGGAATTCCAATTTAAAATTCCTACTTCATATTATTGCGAAAAAAGCACATTGTAGACCTGTAAGAAAATGTAAAATCAAACTATTTGTGTTATTATATGTATTCGGTCAGTTGATGTTAATAGTTTGGTTTTATTCGGCTTTATACAAGTGCGACACGAAAAATAGAACATCATGAAGCACTTTTAAGGTTTTATTGAACATCATGAAGCACTTTTAAGGTTTTATTACAAAGGGGCAAAAACCCCTTGCAGGAATAGTAAAAGCGATTATCTCAGCTTTGTTGTGCAAAATTGCGTAAATCACCAAAAGTTTGTCATTTTTCATTTTACTGTTACGGGTCACAGATTGTGATTAGAATAAAGTATTTGGTACCATTGTAAAGCTAAAATGTTTGTAGTTCTTGTAGTATTCACTACATGTCAATCTGATCACATACACACTCTCAACGAGCTTCGGTTAAAATTTGCTAAAAAGTCTGGCAGTGGCTGATATTATTTTTTCAAACACCTGGCGGTCAGAGTGCTAAGCATGGTGAGACAAAGTCGAATTCACCAATATGCTAATTAGGACCTTCTTGGAAGTCCTGTTGCTACTGTAAAATTATATAAGTGATTAAACCATTCTGATGGGTAAACTATCTGAGGTGATTCCATTGTGACCAAATACACATGTCACACAAGCATACAAAATTTGAAACATGATAATCATTTTTATAAAATATAACATACGCAAGTCACTGGTTAGCAAAGCTTCTAACACGAGAGAAGCCAACAGTCAAAGACTGTCAGAGCAGGAGGAAGATCTAAGAAAATATTTGTTTGCTGACCAGATAGTGCAGACAAAAATATGATTTTAGTTTCTGTATAAAATCAGCTAGGGCCTAATTAACATAACATTAAGCTTAACAGCTAAAACTCGTTAAAAAGATAAGAATCCTATATAGGTTGTTACTGGAACTTTAATAGGCCTATATGACAGTTTGATTAATGAAATAATTTGAATGAAAACAATTTAAAAGAATTAACAGTTAGGTCCTATAAATTTTAATAATTGTTGATTAATTTATAAACTTAAATTAACAGAAATGTAATTGGCATATCATAATAATAAGTCAATATTATTAAATCAACTTGTATCTAAGTAAAATCTGTTTTTAGCAGCATTTTTTGCACTGTGACAATGCCAATAGAAAACATCAGCTTTTTTGCACTGTAACAGTACCGATAGAAAACAGCAGCTTTTTCGCACTGTGGCAGTACATGTTGATAGAAAACAGCAGCTCTTTTTTTTTCGCATTGTGGCAGTGTGGTATCCTCAGCCATGGGCATACAGCAGTTTTTGTGAAAGAAAATTAGGCAATGTGAACGGAGCTTATTTTACATGATGCTTGGAAAATATGGGTATGAAAAGTAATTTGAAGTTATCAAGCTAACTTTAGTTTTTTGTAGGCTATCTTCTCACACGGCAGCTAACGGTTAGCAGGATCCGGATCCTGCTAACCGTTAGCTGCCGTGCGTCCATACGAGAAAATCCCGATCCGGATACCTAGAATACGATGATCGAATCACTGGCCAATAAGAAACTGGAAATTGTAAACGCGTACGTGTGATTGGTTGATGATAGAAACGTGCTCACTTGCTAACCGATAGCGCTTGCTAACCGTTAGCAATATCCGGATACCGCTAACGGTTAGCGCTAACCGACCGGGCGTTCTCACACAGGTGCTAACGGTTAGCGCTAACGGTTTGCTCCCGATCAGGATACTAGGTCTCTCGTGAGAACCAGGCTTTTATATATTTAGAGATCCATGTGACATAAACAGCAAACAAAAATATTCTATCAGATTTATATTTTTCAGCACAAAATGCATTAAAATGCTGATTCATAAACCATAGCACATTCTGTCAGATATCTGAAAAGATATCAAGTCTTTAAAGCTCTGTCCACACTATCAAATTTCTTTGACAAAAAACTGTTGTATGCCCATATATAGCCATGATGTGCCTATATATGGTCAGGATGTGACATCATTGTGACCATATTTAGGCATGTCAAGTACAATTTGATGATCTGGACAGGGTTTAAGCAATGCTGCTGGCCTGATTCTTGCTAGAGACTCGTATGGTGTGTGTGGTGCTTGCTTGCTCCCTCTATCAACAGCAAGTATCTTCTGTTAAAAAAGATACTGAATGAACTAAAATGATAGAGTGGCAGCATCATATCATTAATTTTTTTGATAAACACATTAATGAAACAGGATTACTAGCAGTCCTGGCCCAATTCTTAATGTCTTTCTTTAAGATAGAACTTCTTTGATCAATATAAAAAGTAACAGTTCATGCTAACTATGACTCCAAAATATTGTGGATTGATAAATATTATTAAATATTTTTTTATGATTCATATTCATATTTTAAGTATTTTTAATAGCTTTTTGTTTACATTTTTATGTTAATTATTATATGAATATTTATTTACCAGTTTATATCTATTTAATTCTAAATTAATCATTTTATGTAATCACAATATTTCATTTATTTATTTTTGTTTATTCATTTCTGCAATACAGAAACAACTACAAATTTATGTAAACAGAAAAATAAAATTTATAACTGAATTAATTTGGTGCTAAACATCTCATGCCATATGCTGTCCAGATGTACGACATATGTCAATATTCCGCCAAGGCTGTCACGAGACCCAAAGTGTGCTACAGTGTGCATGATACCTTCCCTTGAGTACTTTATTGTATGCTGTATCTACTGCCATCTTGGTTGGTAGACATTTTGCTTATTAGTATTTCCGTATTACAGTACTGTACTGTTTATTTGGTAATCAAAATTGTAGAATAACACAGACTGATGCCTGGGGATGAAATGAGTCATATTGGCACTAAAATGGTGGCACTCTCTTCTTTATAATTAAAATATCAAAAACAAAATATGAACATTTTTAAAAAGGGATTATCCAAAGAAACTACACAATATGGATACTAATGAAGTAGGAAAATTTCATGTAAAAATAAAAAATATGAACATTGGAGAAGTAGAAAATCTCAGTAGGTATAAACAGAATATTTGAATGTAGTAGGAAAATTCTTATTTGGTGTAAGCAAAATATGAACATTGAAAAGGTAGGTAAATCTCATTTAGCATAAATAAAAAATGGTAGGAAAATCTCAATGGTATAAGCACAAGATATGAATATAGTACAGGTGTCCCTTCAATTAAAACCATTTTTTGGGACTGGGGTTTCCATGGTCTTTGGCAGCTTTGGTCTCTAATAAGAATAATAAAGATAAAAGACATTTGTTAAGTTGGGACAACAGAAAAGTGGTGTCTAATAATTGGAGGTGGTCCTTAATTGGAGGGGTCTTTAATTAGAGGGAGATTGTCTTTAAATTTTAAAAAAATCTTATTTGCTGTAAACAAAATATAAACAAATAAAAAATAGAAAAATATTATTTGCTATAAACAAAAATATAAACATTGAAGAAAAGGAAAATTTGCTATAAACAAAACAATGCAAATGCAATTGTAGAAAACAATATAAATGCAAGTCTTGTTCTAAGTTTTAACAATTTCAAAAATTATACCTAAGGGTTAAACCTCAGTAGGGTGGCATCAGATGTCGGATATAAATAGATATGGATCATTCATGCACATGTTTCACAACCCTGCTTCTTTATCATAACAGTGGTCCAGTAATTCCTTCTCTAATCTTGCTCTATCATTTACAGAAAATTCAAAATTCAGCTGCTTGTGTAGCTGTCTGTGCACCGTATCTGTCCTCCATTAGTTTCCTGTTTGGCAAATCAATGTTGTTATTTTAATGTGTAAAGTTTTATTATTTTTATGACCGGCCATCACACATTTTTCAACTCGTACCTCAGTATGAACCGTCCCGTTGTCTCTGCTCTGATAAAAAATCTTGGCCTGATATTCCTAAATTTCTACAATGACATAGATAAGACATTTTTCATTCTCTGCCTCTCTTTGGAATCATGGACTCCCCTGTTTAATTAAATAATGAATTCAACTACACAGCATTCTTTGTAAAATTAATTTAAAAACCTGTTTCCTAACCAGATTTTATTATTAAATGTAACTTCGATCATTTTTGAATTTGCTGCTTTGTTTTCATTGTTGCTGTTTTTTTGTTTTTTTTATTATTTTTAATACTGTCATTATTATTTTTATTTTTTCCCTGACAGACAGTGCATATAAATCTGGTCGGTAAGAAGCTTTATACTTTTATTCTGTCCGTACTTTATATTGAAGATATATTTACAGTTAAACTTGGACTTTCGCATTCAGAATCTCTTTGCAGAGGATGTTATGTAATAAGCAACAAAGTAGTTTGATTTCCAATTTGTCAAAGAATAAGGATGTAATACTAAATATTAAGGGAAAAAAAATGTTTGGGAATGTTGTTTGTTTTGTTTATTGAACTTTATTTTGTACTTTGTTTTGTTTGTGCAATTGAAATAGGTATCACTTGATTAAAAATAATCGACAAATGATTAAACTGAACAAATTGAAAGTATTTCTTGAAGGTTTGCGTACGTGGTGAATATCAATAAGATATCTTATTGATACTCATAAAAATACTCCAAGTATTGAAATGCACGCCATCGTGTTGGGATTCAATATTTCGACATTAATTTTGACATCATTAGAAATGTATTATACTATCTAATCTGAGATTAATCTGTGAACCTTTCGATTAACAAAAACAAATAAAAATTTTGGTACACCATGTGTGTGATTTTGTTGTGAAAATATAAACAAACCTGACCTTATTATTTACAAATCATGTACAGTATCGAGTGTAATTAAAATACAGGTTTGTGTTAGTGAAATATTTCTCTTGGTCCTACCAACCATGTCATTATTATTAAAAATACCAGTCAAAATACCTTTGATGTGTATATTTTATTGATTGTGGTCAAATCAAATGTATTCATTGTAATTTGTATTATTGAATGGCAGTAATCTCTTCATCTATGTGTATTATTGTATGCTGAGTGCATTTGTCTACCCTCTTGGCCTGCAGTGCACTTGGTATACCCTTGGGTCTTTTGAAGTACTCATCATTGACCTGGTTCTGCCTTGCAAGGATTATCTAGAATTTGGCCCTCAAAACCAGAAACACTGGCTCTCAAACTCATTCATAGAGGTATT